ATGAATTACTTATATATGTACCTAGACCTCAAGAAGTAACAGCTGAAAATAGAGAGACCAATGAGGAGGAGAAGTGATATACCCCAGTTCTTTTGTAATGTACCTGGTGTTATTTCCCCATATTTTTCACAGGTTGAAGCTAGGAGACAGCTGAATGGCAGCATTAATATTTTTTCAGAACGAGAAATTTTGGCCTTTGTTTATTTCTCTGTAGAAGGTGATATTTTCCACAAATGACTGCAGAGAGATGTGCATATGAAGGATATTGGGTGTTTCAGATTGCTTTGATAAGAACAAATAGCCTACAAATCACTAGATAGGAAATGAAACATGGTACATTGTCTTAAACTATCTCCCTTAATCATTGTTTTTGCAAAACATCAACATAAATATCTGGTAGTCATGTTGCAGAAAGGCATTCAATGGTCCTTGTTCAGATACTTGAAGGTAAAAAGTAGTTAATTAGATTTCAGAGTTTAGCAGGCTTAGCAATGAAACATGTATGAACAGAAGAGGTTGGCAGCTTTTTGGCCGAGTTTTTGTTTGGAATTAGAGAAGGAATTGGAAAATACAATTGTTCAGAATGTCTTTATTTTTTTTAAGGAGTAGGCAGTCAGAGTGTGACCAGTTTGCTAAATGTACTTAAACTCTCTGCATGTAACTCTAGTACACAAATTTTCTGTACCCACTCATTTCAGACAGAGGTTATAAACAGTGGGTTTCTAACCCACTCATTTCATACCGAGATTATAAACAGCTGAGTTTCAGCCATTCTGTGGAACTGCAATGCTCCATGACAGATAATGTAGCTATCTCTATACTATCTCTGTTGCCAGCTCTGGAGTTTCTCCTCTTGCACTGACTAGTCCCTACCTGGCCAACCACATCAGAAATGCCTGCTCCCGAGCTCTGCTGTCTCTTCCAGCACATAGACTCATACTCCCATCTCCTACCAGTTGGTTTCTACAGGCACATTCAACCTCTGATATTTTCACTTGAACTGGGATTAATGTTTCACAAAATTAATTGAAAGCAATCTAAATTTCACTGTGACTGCCATTTCCTAGATTAGTCGTATGGCCAAGGATTTATACAGAAGCTGAAGATTGTATATGAGCTTGATTGTTGTATGTAATTATTGGCCTGAAGATTAGGATTGTTTCGTTTCTCTGGAGTAGAATTATACTTTCTTGCTTCCTTTGTGTAATAGTCTCTATGGATGTCAAGCAGTCCTTTAAGACGTGAAGATTTTTATTTAAATAACCAAAAATGAAACACATTGAGCTTAGATTCAAAATATTCAGCTTGTGTCAGCTGAATAACAAGATATCTTCTGAGCACCTGGAAGGTATTAATAAATAGTAATAGTCAGAACAATAGTTAATGAGTATTTAATATGCAGAACTAAATACTGTTTAGTAATTAAGTACCACCTCAAATCTCAGGATCTCAAAAGCACCTTATTAGTATAAATGAATGAAAATTTCTATAATTTGACTCTGAGATAGATAATTACTACCACAGATTTCAAGAATAGGGTACTTGAAGTTTATAGCTTGTCCAATATCAGACTAAGAAATAGACACAACCCTGTACTATTTAATTATAAATATGAGGAAGCCAATGAGTTACAGAGAAACACCAGATCAACATTTGCATTCACCTTTGTGAGAAGAATTACAAAATGTGTTATTTAGAGATGTAGGCATTACACACAGTATGTTGAGGTCTCATATGTACCTGTGGGGAAGGGCTGAGAGAATGGTGCTTGCACAGCTTGGAGGAGAGGTGGCTTCAGGGGGGACATAACAGCAGCCCCCAATACCTACAGGGAGGTTGTCAGTAAGACAGAGCCACGCTCGTCACAGTGGTGCATTGTGGGAGGACAAGAGACAATGGATTTAAGTTGAAACAAGGGAGATCGAGGCTGGATATGAGGAGAAATTTCTTCACTGGGTGGACAGTCAAGCAGTGGAGCAGGTTGTCCAGAGAGGCTGTGCATTCTCAGTCCTTGGAATTTTCAAGAACCAACTGGATTAAGCCCTGTGCAACTTGGTCTGACCTTGTAGCTTACCCTGCCTGAGCAGGAGGTTGGTCTAGAGACCTCCGAGGTTGCTTCCAACCTGATTATCCTATGACCCTACAAAAGTACATCTGTCAAATACAATAGTTGCTCCATTAACATCTGGCAACTATACTAGTCTGTAGTTTAAGTCCTAAAACTGCAAATTCCTACTCCTGTGAGTGGATTTAATGATACCAATAGTCCCAGTGAGGTTGATAGGATTGCTGGCAAGAATAAGATATTAAAAGATCACGTCACGAGTCTGGAAACCACTTTTCTTTTGCTTTTTGTTCAGTGACTGGACACGTCTTCCCTGAAAAACCTCACACGTCAAGGAAATTATTTGAAAGGCAAAAATAGTATTCCTTTGGTATTTGTGGTTTTACATGCTAACTTCCTGTCTTTATGAACAGGTTATTCCCCCTAATAGTCATGTGAAAAGCCATGATTAACACAGGGAAAATTAATTTACTTTATAATTGAAATTGCTGTCAAATAAAATGTGCCATAATAGAGGAAAAACTATTTACTTCTCAATTTTAGTAACCTTAGATATCAATAGGATGTAAATTAAACTAAGAAAGTGGCCTTTCTTGTAGTTGTTGCTATTATTGTTGTTCTTTTAAACCACATGATGTCTCTCTGACAGAACTGTTTAAATTTTTCTGTAAAATTTCACCCTTTGCCCTTGCCACGGATTTGCAGCCAAGGTGATGCCCTGTTTCTACAGGGATTTCTTTTCATGTATCAGTATCCCCTCTGTTTTTACAGGTGGGCAAAAAAATACATTTGTTTGACAGGGTTATTTTGACCTACAATAACAAAACTGTCTGGTAAAAAGAAAAGTGGAAATTCAGCACTTACAAGTTAATTTAATTTGTAGAAATGTAATTGAGCAATCAAGACAGATTTCTATCTGTTAGAAATTTTCAAGTGAGCTTTCAGTAGAGGGCTTAGGCAGCTTTGCATTGCTACCAAGAAGGCTGAACTTTTCTCTTTTTGGCACTACTCAAGTAATGGAAAATTGGTAATTTAGAGTTACTTCCTCTGTGCAAGAATTGCATCCCATTAAGTCTCTTATCAGGCTATTTCATGTAGAATATGAGTTGTGTTTTATGGAGAAGCATTTCTAATTCCAGAGCAAGTCAGACTGTAATTGCCAAGTTTAGTAGAGAGCTTTTCAGTTAAAAAGGAGTGGTTACTGGGTAATATACTTACACACGATCAAGAGTAGCTAGGAACTGAGTCTTGGGGACGAGCATATTTCTCTCAGGAATTCTTGTGTATCATTTCTTGGCCACTCCTCTTTCAAATCATAGACTTGCAGATAATCTGAGCAGAATAATGCACGCTAATATTCTCTTTGAGAAATACTGAACCCACACACTTAAAGAAGGCTAACGTACATCCAGAATACTTCCTTAAAATTGAAACTCAAATCTTTCAAAAAAGGTAATTTCAACTTCCTCTGTTTGGGATTATTTCCTAAAAAAATGTCTCTAATAACATAAAACCCAAATTCTCTATATGATCTGATTTTGGCGCATTCAGTTGCAGCTTTTTGGCTTCAACATGATCCAAATTCCAATATTATATCTGATTCTCTTTCTGCTTCATTTTCATAATACACCTGGAGTCCTCTGTATTTATTTGAACAGTAAGCCAGTATTCCTCATGCCTAATGAATGTTGGCAGACTGGATGTTATTAGTTTCCATGTGTTTTGTCAGAGGGTGGTGTATTGCAGGTGCTTACCTACTCGATATGAAAGTGTACCCT